GGTCATCTCCAGACCATCTGGAGTCCATTATCTTCAGAGAGGAAAACTTCCCAGAAGTCCCACCAGATTCAGAGGTCAAAGGTCAGAGCATAAAGCTCAGAGAAATGACCAGTAACCCCAGAGCTCCATCCCAGAGCAGGTAAAAGGTTAAAGGTCATATTTGGTAATGAAGCACAGCACCATGTGTGATGACCTCAAACCAGCTGAAAAGCACGGTGGTGGAGGGTAATGATGTGGGTCCAGTCAGGCAGAAACCAGCACAGTGCCACCACCAGTTGGGTCAGCCCCATTTCCAGACCTTTGGACCCTCAGCTAGGACTTCATAATGAATGAATGAACATTATTAATCCCAGAGGGAAAACAACCCGTCCAAAACAGACACTTCAGAGGGAGGCGCCACACACACACATGCTGAGGGGTAATCATCAGTTATTCTTATCAGCATTAAACACACTTAAACAAATTAACAGAATAAAGTGTGTGTGTGTGTGTGTGTGTGTGTGTGTGCGCGCGCGCTGATAAACTGCACCATGCAGACTGCAACATGAACGGCTCCAGCCAGATCTGATCCAGGACCAGTTGGTCAGGCTGCACAGGTGGGGGTCACTTATTTTTGTTTCCCAGCGGCTCCTTTAAACTCCATGAAGACCAGTGAAGTGCAGGTTTTCCGTCCAGACTTCTTTCCAATAACAGCGGACTTAATGAAACCCGGTTCTCACCGGAAGTTACACCTGAAAGCCTGGTTCTGTTCGGGTCCAGGTTGGTCTTTGTCGGTCAGACTTTAATTCGGGGTATATTTGAGCTGCTGTCTGTATATTTAATCAATAATCCGTTCAATTATAGTCGTAGAGTCGCTGTCGTTTCCGGGATTAACACGGGATCTGCTCAATAAACTTTAGATTCCAACAGAAATACGAGGGATCTGTTTTAAAATAATGCCGAATTAAAGGCTGGACCAAAGTAGAAAAACAACCATCTGACTGGGTTATTAATAACATGCCGAATGCATGCAGTGAAGGGTAAATTAAAGTGTTTCTGTGTTAGCTGAGCTGGCAGGACTCACCTCCCCAGATCCCGATCTTCAGCTGAGACTTGTCCAGGTTCTCCACGTAGTCCCCGATGAACCTGTTCAGGAGGTCGCTGACCAGAGACTCGAACACCATGGCTGGAAGTTACTGACGGACCCGCCGAGGGTCGCGGGTTGTCTGCACCTGACTTCCGGGCTGCGAGGATCGACTCGATCTGGGATCTACAGACGCTGTCTGCTGGTGGGTGGGTGGGTGTGTGTGTGTGTGTGTGTGTGTGTGTGTGTGGCAGATATAGGCTGGTCAGTCAGGTGACGATGAGTCAGGAGCAACTGGGAGGATCTCCGCCATGTTTCTCACATGATAATTCATAAACACAAAGAATTAATTTCAATCTGCACTCCATGATGATCACTGTACTACGGAAGCCTGAAGATGCCAAAAATACTCTGCTGTCACATTGGGGAAACTTTAATTTTTCAAACAATATAATACCATGTTAATATAATTGATATATTTCTCATGTGTTGAGAAAAAATGATTATTTTTAGTGTTTTATACAGTTTAATCTTTTTTGAACAAATTTCTTAATTTAGAACAGATTTAATGATTTAAAACCAAACTACTGATGGGTAAATATTCAACTTACAGGAAGGAAAATAGAGATCACAAGGGAGCTCCCACTGAGCTCCTGTTATCAGAGGACAGGAGGCCATAAAATTAGCATCTGCTGGAAGGCAGCATCACTTGGATGAGCGGGAGAGAAGTTTGCTCGGTTCACGGAAGATCAAAAGTCTTCAAAACTAACATCTGGGACGGTGTAAAACTGAATACAATGTAGAATGTTTAAAACAACTAGCATTTAATTTGTAAGACATTTTTCGTAGTTATTAATAGCATGCTCTGACTGAAAATAGTTTAATCGTTTTAGAATTACTAATTTAGTCAGTGATTAATGTATTTTGAAATTGTATTATCTGTTACTATATTGGAATCAAATGGAAAAGTGTGTGAGTGAAAATATTTTGTTTAGTATTAGAAAATTGCTCATGTTTATGGTGAAAGGGTTTTGGAAAATGACTGTGTTAATTTTTATACTCAGGATTGATTATTATATTTGATAGGTTAGAAAAAGGAATTTTATCCCGTTCTGTCCTGTTGATTTTATGTATTACTTCTGGTTTACACCAGGATTCAATCTTTTGAGGTGCTGAATGCAGAAGAACAAAGTTAGGTTTGTGGAGATAACCTTTGCTGGAACTAATTACAGAATTTAAGTTTGTTCCTGAGGAATCTGAGCAGGGAGAAAAGCGGGAGAGATTCCAGATTTCACAGCTATCTGTGAAATACCTTTCTCTGTTTCTCTTTGCCCAGATGGCCTTAAAACCGCAGGAGTTCAGGACAAGCTCTCCTCTCCTTTTGTTAAACAAAGGGGACAAAATGGCCTTTGATCGTGGAAGCAAATTGTAAGGAGGTTCTAACTTTTAGAGGGTCCAAGATAGCTTCCAGTTGGTCAAGCAGAGGTACGCCTTATTTGAATATATTAAAGAGGAAGAATACGCCTTTACTATAAAAATTTCTACACAGGAGTAACAAATCAGATTTGTTCTTGCAATTCTCCAAAGACGTCTTTGCTTTTTGTTTGTCGTTTCCATCTTTTGTCTTTTTCCTCTTTCAGGTAAATTAATGTGTTGTTTGTGATCTGAGTTTTCTGATGTTGTGTGATGTACTTTTCTGGTGATATGCATCTGTCTTGAATAAATGCTGATTATTGTGACGCTGTCATTTCTGTATGGCTTTTGTTTCCACGCATAGAATCATTGAATTCGGGAGCACAAGAGAATATAATGAGCCAGAAGTTAATGATTTTATTCTCTTAGCACATGCTCTAACAAAAACTGTCATGTTACCACAATATAATATTCTTATTGTAGTAACATGATCAACAAACAAAAACATTAAGTTTTCATCTTTTTATGTCATGCAGCTCAATTTTTATTTGGTCTATGTGTCACCTCTAGGCTTCCGTACATTTTAGCTGGACATGCCAAAGCAGGGGTCTCAAACTCAGTTTACCCGGGGGCCGCTGGACGCGGAGTCTGGGTGAGGCTGGGCTGCATAAAGGAGCCCACAATAAAACATTTAAAAAATATTCTCAAATGTCATCAACATTTAATTATTCCTCAAATACATGAACTGCAGGCTTTGGCTTTGACAAAGACATGATGAGGGTGTGAGAAAATTTAGGGTGCGTTCACACTGCACCCCGACGTGACCCAATTCTGGGGCCATTCACACTTCCAAATAGATGTGACCTGAATGCGTTCTGCAGTGTGAACGGGCAAACGACCTGAAAGTGTCCCGCATGCNGGTAAATATTCAACTTACAGGAAGGAAAATAGAGATCACAAGGGAGCTCCCACTGAGCTCCTGTTATCAGAGGACAGGAGGCCATAAAATTAGCATCTGCTGGAAGGCAGCATCACTTGGATGAGCGGGAGAGAAGTTTGCTCGGTTCACGGAAGATCAAAAGTCTTCAAAACTAACATCTGGGACGGTGTAAAACTGAATACAATGTAGAATGTTTAAAACAACTAGCATTTAATTTGTAAGACATTTTTCGTAGTTATTAATAGCATGCTCTGACTGAAAATAGTTTAATCGTAGTTATAGAATTACTAATTTAGTCAGTGATGAATGTATTTTGAAATTGTATTATTTGCTACAATATTGGAATCAAATGGAAATGTGTGAGTGAAAAGGTTTAGGTTTAGTATTAGAAAATTGCTCAGGTTTATGGTGAAAGGGTTTTGGAAAATGATTGTGTTAATTTTTATACTCAGGATTGATTATTATATTTGATAGGTTAGAAAAAGGAATTTTATCCCGTTCTGTTCTGTTGTTTATGTATTACTTCTGGTTTACACCAGGACTCAATCTTTTGAGGTGCTGGATGCAGAAGAACAAAGTTAGGTTTGTGGAGATAACCTTTGCTGGAACTAATTACAGAATTTAAGTTTGTTCCTGAGGAATCTGAGCAGGGAGAAAAGCGGGAGAGATTCCAGATTTCACAGCTATCTGTGAAATACCTTTCTCTGTTTCTCTTTGCCCAGATGGCCTTAAAACCGCAGGAGTTCAGGAGAAGCTCTGCTCTCCTTTTGTTAAACAAAGGGGACAAAATGGCCTTTGATCGTGGAAGCAAATTGTAAGGAGGTTCTAACT